ACTTAAATGTTCATTGTGGCAAGTAGGTTTTGAGGTATGTAATGGTATTTTCTATACTCTGTGAATCAAAATTCAAAATAATTAAAACAAAATGGAAAATAAATAAATAGCCCACAGGCCAAAGCAGTCTGTAGTCCATAGTTCCTGTAAGTGCCTGTCATCACTCTCACTATCACTTGGGTTCTCCCTCACATACTCCTTCAATGTTTTCCAATGAACACATATTCATCAGAGCCAAAAAGGACTCTGAAAACTCTAAATGCCAGAAAGAATACAGGTCATATAACTCCATATCTAAATTATTATTATTTTCTTTCTTGTCTGTGTTGTGAATAGAATGACACTGCAGATACCACAGCCTTTTTTTTTTTTTTTTTTTTTTTTTTTTTTGCAGTTTTTGGCCATGGCTGGGTTTGAACCCGCCACATCTGGTATATGGGGCCTGTGCCCTATTCCTTTGAGCCACAGGCGCTGCCCACCACAGCCTTTTTAATCATGACAGGGCTAGATCCACAGGTTAATAGGTTACAGGTGCTCCCACTTGTGCAGGAGCATCCAGGTAGGATTTACCTGGGCCCCAGGGTCTCCACAGCCTCAGCTGGCCCTGTCAGTAAGAAGAGCCCAGCACCTTTCTCATCACCAACAGTTAAGAACAGGAGGGTCTCCTAGGAGGTAAGACAAGGAGATGAGCCCTGATATTTGAGAATGTGGAGCTAACTCCCCAAGCCCTACTCTCTCCCTAGCCTCAAGAACAAATATTTCTCCCTAAACCATGGAATGATGCTCCCGCTGAATGATGACATGGTCCTCTACTCTGGTCCATTAGGGGCAAGAAACTTTTTGAGAGTGACCAAGGGAACTTAGGTTAAACATTAAGAAGGAAGCAGAAGGCTCGGCGCCTATAGCTCAACTGGCTAAGGCACCAGCCACGTACACCTAAGGTGGCGGGTTCGAATCTCCAGCCCGGACCCGACCAAACAACAATGACAGCTGCAACCAAAAAATAGCCGGGCGTTGTGGCGGGCGCCTGTGGTCCCAGCTACTTGGGAGGCGGAGGCAGGAGACTCGCTTGAGCCCAGGAGTTGGAGGTTGCTGTGAGCTGTAATGCCACGGCACTCTACCCAGGGGGACAGCTTAAGGCTCTGTCTCAAAAAAAAAAAAAAAAAAAAAAAAAAGAAGGAAGCAGAAGACCAAACAAAATGCCCTTCATGGTTTGACTCCTCCCAACCTTTCCAACCTATCCCCCACCATGCACGCTGTACCTGCCATTGCCTACACCACATTTCCTTCTGCCCAGCGCCTCTCTTCCTAATCTGTCTGATGAGCTCTAAGTAGTCTCCAAGGCCCTTTCCCTAAAGCCTCCCACCCTCTCAGGCAATGTGCTCCTCTGCCTCTAGCATTTATCACTCTAAATTATAAATGTGGCACACATTTATCTCCCAGACTAGAACTTAGCTCCTTAAGAATCGGTACTATCTACACAGAAGAATTATGCCTGACTCACATTAGGCAAAACAAAACCAAAAAACCAGTTTGGGAATAAATGCAAAAGAGAGACCTCTCTAAAGACTGTCAAAAGGGGAAAGGGCAAGTAAAGCCAGAAGCAGAGAAGAATGGATGGGATGGCCTTCATGGGGCCTTCCAACCTCTCTATTTCTAATATTGAATTCTCAGCACATGGAAACCTGGGTGCCTTGGGGGAGCTAAAGCTCTGATAAAGGGAACTCAGAAGCAGATAAATGCCATAACCCCCAGAAAGAGCAATAGTACAGATCGAGTTAATACCTAAAATGGAGCATGGATCATAGCTGTGCTAAGAAAATAGCATTGAATCAATTTCTATTCCCTACTTTTCACATGATAATATGGAGGGACTTGAGCTAAACCAACACTGCTCACTTATGTCTATTTTCCTAGACCTCTACCTGGGGCAAAGAATAGAATTTCACATTCCTCTTACCTCTGACCCAATCTCATTGGCAATGATATTCATGAACTCAGAATCACCCTCCTTCCTACAACAAAAGACACAGACATGAGATCCTGGTAGGAGTGATTGGCTGTAGAACCGCTGGAAGCCTGGCCCATCCTCATGAGTCTGGCCTCTCTGCTGCAAGTAAAGTCCCAGATCCCTCAGCAAAGAGAAAGAGTGCTTGCTGATGACCAGCAAGATGTCCTTCTCGGCCTCAGCAGCTTCTAAACAAGCTCTGGGTTTGTTTCTGTCTCCCTTACTCAGGACTGACCAGGATAAGCAGAGATCTGTTAGATGGTGGCAAAGGCGAGGCAAGGTGCTAATGAAAGATATAGGTTGGCTCGGCGCCTGTGGCTCAAGTGGCTAAGGCGCCAGCCACATACACCTAACGTGGCGGGTTCGAATCCCCAGCCCGGCCCGCCAAACAACAATGATGGCTGCAACCAAAAAAATGGCCGGGCGTTGTGGCGGGCGCCTGTAGTCCCAGCTACTTGGGAGGCTGAGGGAGGAGACTTGCTTGAGCCCAGGAGTTGGAGGTTGCTGTGAGCTGTGATGCCACAGCACTCTACCCAGGGGGATAGCTTGAGGCCCTGTCTCAAAAAAAAAAAAAAAAGAAAGAAAGATATAGGTTACAGGGCAGTGCCTATGGCTCAAAAGGGTAGGGTGCCGGCCCCATATGCCAGAGGTGGCGGGTTCAAACCCAGCCCTGGCCAAAAAAAAAGATACAGGTTACAGAGATGTTAATATCAAACCAGGAAACCTGGTAGGTAACAAATGTCTTAGGGTCTACTCAGCCTTGAGACTACCAGTTGAGGAACCCGCCTCCCATTGTACCCTACATACAGGGAAGATGCAGAGCCCTAAAACCAAGATAGCCAACTACTAATTTCTCACCTATGTAATGTGACCACACCTCCCCAGTCTGAGCTGTTCCTGAGGCTGTGGGCAATGTGCACAGCCAGGTCTCTGAGCAAATTCAGGTTGTTCTGGAATAGATGATAACTCAGTAGATAGGTGAACAGGATAATAAAAGAATACCAGCTTCCTTCACTCTCCCCCCACCTCCCTTTGACAAAGTACACATCTGGTTAGGCAGAGGGCCAAGTCCAGAGAGCCTATTCCAGACAGATTCCGTGCCCTCTCTACCCTCCATGGAATAAATCACCTTCTGCAGCAGTTTGGTGGAGTTCTGGAGCTTTTTCACTGCTTCCACATGATCCTCTGCTCCACACCTGTGAGAGAAAGATCAGTAGAAACCTACCTGGCTTCCCAGTACCTTCTGGTGCTGAGGTGCCTCCCTTCAGATGGGGACTTGGGGATATGCTAGGGAGGTCCCTTATGCAATTGGGGGAAAGGATACAAAGGAACAAACCATTTTGCATGAGTCTGACTCACTATGCAAAGCACTTTATCATTTGTGATTGCATTTTATCTCCTAGAGGTAAAAGATTATTCTGTCTCCCTTACAGGCAAGAAGGCTAAGCCCCACAGTGTCCAGGAACCGAGAAAAAAGAGGCAATTGAAGAGGGCATACTTAAGCAGAGCGGTCAGTGCTTTTTCAGTTCCATGACTTCTCTCCATCCACTTTAGCACCCGGTTCCCAGCCAGAAATATCAGGTTGGTTTTGTTCTTTTTCCCCTTCTCAGTGCCCAGAATCTTAATGACCTACATGAGGCAAGGGGTAACACAAACACAAACACATATGCTTAAACCACAGTAAGTGCTTCAACCTGAGGGCAGCTCTGAAGCAACGAAAGGGAGATTTCACTTAGGAATCCTCAACTGATCCCCTACCAGTTTGAGCCCTGCTATGATCCCCACTCCTGATAGCCTCTTCTTAACCACTCAAAAGCCCTTCCTCACCTACCTGAAGGTCACTGAGATTGCTCACATGGGTTCCACAGCACATATTGGAATCAACACCCTTGATGGTAACAACTCGAATGGGCCCAGCATGATCATCCGGCAAACCCCGGCCTCTCACCTGGAGTAAAGGGGAGGGAGAAAGGCTGTCTGAATTTTGATGAGGAGCCCTTGGAGAGCCCTTCTGCAGAAGCCACCCCACTGGCTCACCCCTCACCTGCTCCACCTCAGGATCATCCAGGCTCAGTTCTCGCACGTTCACAGGCAGCCGATCTCTGATTTTTTCATTGACACTTTGCTCAATGGCAGCTACTTGCTCTGTAGTCACGGAAGGGCTGTCCAGCTCAATGACACTCCGGAGTCTCCCTAACTCCCTGCCAGAAGGAACAGTGTGGTCACAGAATGCTGATGATGACAATAATAAGTTTTACAAAGAATGTTCATATAAATTATTTATGAGTTATTTAATCCTCACACCCACACACACACAAGGTAGGGAATGTCATTCCCATTTTACAGGTGAAGGGTATTAAAGAGCATCAAAATCATGCAGTCAGTAAGTGGTGGAGCCAGGATACACCACCTAGGTCTTTGGGCTCCAAAGTCCATGTTCTTTCCTAAGCAAAAGCAAATGTCACTTCTCTCATCCTTTTCCTTTCCATGAGGAACACAAGGTAATCCCGTCACCTCATCTTCAAGGGGAAGAGAAGAACAGAGCCAATTCTGAACACTATCCTCTCTTTTATCCTCCTCCTCCCTGACCCATGATAGAAAATGGAGCTGGTGGTCAGGGACCCTCAGGGGTTAGTCTTGTGCCTCCCACTCACCATGATGTTGTCTTCAGCCCAAAAAGATGGTCAGCAACTGCCGTGATGAGATGCTGCCCTAAGCAAAGAGAAGGAAATGAGAAAAGTGAGAAGCCCAGACAGGTACATATTCCTATAATGATAAAAATCACAGAAATTCTGGGCGGTGCCTATGGCTCAAAAGGGTAGGGCACTGGCCCCATATGCTGGAGGTGGCAGGTTCAAACCCAGCCTCGGCCAAAAAAAAAAAAAATCACAGAAATTCTCCTTATTGAAGACCTACTAGGGACTGGGTAATACACTTTAGATATTTTATTGAAAATCATCATGAGAATTCTACAAAAGGCTTTATAAGGCTCTTTTTTTTTTTCTGAGACAGAGTCTTACTATGTCGCCCTCAGTAGAGTGTCATGGCGTCATACCCCACAGCAACCTCAAACTCTTGGGCCTAAACAATTCTCTTGCCTTAACCTGCCAAGTAGCTGGGACTACAGGCGTGCACCACAATCCCTGGCTATTTTTTTTTCTTGTTCTCATTGTTGTTTAGCAGGCCTTGGCCGGGTTCAAACCTGCCAGCCCAGTGTATGTGGCCAGCGCCCTAACCACTGAGCTCAGGCACCTATAAGGCTATTTCACAAACCAGGAAACAAAAGCCTAGGGAAATCAAATAACTTGCCACAGCAATGTAGCTTACTTAACAGAGGCAGGATTTGAACTTAAGTTCTAATGTGCACCATTCATTCATTCAACAAATATTTACTGAGTACCTACCACATGCAAGGTATAGCACTTGACTTTAGAGATAGAGCAGCATCCCTGATTGAGAACAGTGAGGATAAGGAGGAAGAGTAGGAAAAAGAGGAAGAAGAGGAAAAGGAGAAGGAAGAATAGAAATTGACTA